ATTGCCTTCAGCCACACCAGCGAATTCTTGGCTGACCAGGAACCAGAAATGCAAGCGGAAATAACAGAAAAAGCATTCACATGATGTCATACTAGGCAAAGACAAAGTAACACCAACCAGTTGCGAAATATCCTGGACATTGTACACACACATGTAACAGTTCCTGCCAGCCGTTTGACACATTCATGATACAGAAACCAGGAAGGCCAAGGAAACGAACCGTCAGCCGCTTCCGAGGTGAACTTACATCAGTGTTTTCAACAGCATCGGATTTGCGGAACTCGTAAGGATCGTGTTTTTTACTCTTCAGTCGTTTAAACAACCACTTGCTATCGAAAGATATTCACTTGTACAGCTGCTCAAAAGACGATGAGCTAAAGTAGTCAACTCTCTAAACTGATCGTAATTTTACTAAAATGCTAAGTAGTATGCACGCATCTGCAAGGAACAAGTGGTCAATACATCTAAGATGCCAGCAGTGTGCTACCCTCGAGTCGTAGTGGGTGGGTGGTTGAGAAGATGGATAAGTGAATCAGAATCGACCAGTAATACCCCCAGAATGGATAGGTCTGAGGTCAACATGCGGAATAATGCGTTCGAGCTGGGAGGCTGAGGTGACTGACAAATGCTCCTTGAATTGATTGACGAATACTTGATCAAATAGCTCTGGAAATTAATCATAAATAAAAGTGTTCAATTTTACTGAATGAGCAAAGCCGAATTTGATGAATGGGTGGATGTATCTGGATGGTCAGATAAATGAATAAATGGATAAATGGACGAATCAATCACAAACAGAACAACTGCAATTAACCCACGCAGCCCCCTGCGTCTTCTCCACGATCCTTATCCTTGCCTTCAGTCAAACCGCCTTCTTCTACTTTTGGCATGAATCTTTTTTGAGTAATCATAGGTTAATGCACACTGTTATAGAACCGTCAGAGGAGTGTTTACTCTGAGCAGAAATAAAGCCCTGTCTACAATTCAAAATATGCAGTCCTATAGTGAAAAAAGCCGACTTCAGTGTGGTAGCAACATCTCCGCCGACTTCTGATCAAAGATACATAAGCTCACGCTCACACAAAGAACGTGTAAAGCGGCTCAAAGTTAGCTTAGTAGATTTGAGATTACCTTTCATGAGAACGGTCATCCTCGACGTTTAAGCCAACAAATCGTCGTGAAACACTTACACACCTGCGCGTACTAGTGTAAGAGCCAGTGATTTATTTGGGACACCGCCAAACGAATGCTTCCTGTGCCACTGGTGCTGATGGAATGACGCACGCCGTCACAAATTAAATCCCCGCACGTCCTCCCTATCTAACGATCTGTAAAAGGTAACGTCCCCTCACACTACCAGTGCTCCTCCGGGGAGCTATAATTCACTCCACCCCTAGTCCGGTCACAAAAGCTACCATTTGACTACTAGCAAGACCCTCGCATTTCGTGTGCTTGAAAAGGACGGGTACCTATTCGAAACCTCAGTCCCAAAATCAAACTCGGTGAATTCGTAAGTAACTTTTTCCTACTTTATATGTAATAACACATACACTGAGTAAATTGGAGAAAATAACGAATGTGGAGGTAGTCAGACAAACAGATACTTGGTGACCAACTCGCCATCTAGCAGTGAAAAGAAGGATTTTGATTGCGGTTAGCATCCCCGTGATCAGGAGAAACGAGTCATTTTCGACCAAAACAGGCAAGAGTAAATTGTCGTGTCACACAAGGTGGTCCGTATATTGCATTTATCATACACACTTTAACACCTATTTTTCCGCATTTTTATTGTTGACAAAATGTTGCATTTGATCATAAACCTTGCTGATAGTAAAATGCACAATTATCGTCAAACATAGATGGTATTTTAGAGGAGATGACCACAAAAACCTCAGTTGTCCTCCCCTTATTGACAAGAAGATTTCGGACTCCTGCGAATTCTTTCACTGATAAAAGAAGACCGGCCATTTTCGAACGCCAAAGTAACGGCTAGCTCAACTTTGGTGCATGTGTTTTCCCAATATGACAACAAAACACAAGACGTAAAAATATATCGAGTACAGCATTTGAAATTATACCCGAAGGCAGAAGTTGCATATTAAATGTGGTAATATTTCCGATCGCGTGTCCGATTTGAGGTTTAATGCGAAAGAATTAGACTATTTGTTGGATGTGCATACGCGTGGACAAACTCGGGAGGCACAATAAGCAATAGCCTTTGCGTAAAAATAATTTAAAGATGATTTGAGGGGAGACAATATGGTTTGATCACTTCATCCTAACCCTCCTAATATCTGATTCCTGCAGCACTTCAATGGAATTTATTCTATCAAACGAACTTTGGAAATCTAACCGGCTTGTCGCGTGCATTAACAACTATGCCTGGCCGCTTAAAGATTGTCGATAGCTTACTGAAACATTATAAAAATAACATTTTTGATCCGCCATGTAGATGGAAGAGCATAGCATAAAACAATGTGGTAGAGACGTACCAAGTCCAAACATCCAATTAGCAAGCCTTGCGACATGACCACACAGTGCACTCGTCTGTTGCGGAAAATTCAAATTGTCGCGCAGTCGCTCAGTTTCGCTAAAAAAGTTGTTTCTCAAATTCTGTCATCTGAGAGCTTCATGGAAAAAGAACAAGTAATGATGCATAAAAGTGCTTAAAGTATACTGCTATTGTGGATCTATTTGCGGGAACACTTGAATTTGTTAACAGTTTGCGCTAAACCTACAATGAAAAGGTTTAATTACTACCAGTTATTTGGGGAGTACTTGGATGAACCTGATATATCAGGCTACCTTCTACTTTGTTCATTGTACTAATTTTTTTCGCCTAATCTCCCCGTAATATTTATAATAATGTTGCATTCTTCATCCACACTTCCCAATGTTACACATTCCAAATGGGTATTACTGTAGCTGTAATCTCACTTTGGCATAATTTTCCTACACTTCACTCTTGGTAATCCCAAGCTTCCGAACAATTAACAATTCATCCTGTTCAATTTTGCGCCCATGTTCCCGTTTACATGGGTACATGTCTGACGGATAAATGAAATCTAGTATTGCATATTTCCCAGGTTACAGTCTTGCAGACCGGTGAGGACTGTTTACTGTTTGGACCACTTTTTTCCCAAGCATAGCTTGTTTAATCAGTATCCATCTTCCGAGAACTTCATATTGTCTAATCATCTCTCCAAATATACCACTTCAAAAGCAAAAACCAGAAGCCTAAAGTGGGAACTTCAATATTTGCAGTTTTGTTCCACTATTACCTATTTTTTCCTCCATCATGACCGATACGCTATTCAAGGTCCCGTTTATATGCCTGTAAGATGCGTCATCAACATTTGAGTTAAGCATCGTCCCATGCATTTGTGTTTATTTTGATGTCATCCAAAATGAAATAATCTCTGTTTGCTGGAATTATCTATTCAGTTGACAGTCAACAAGACGTAGGCAGTAAAACTGGCGTAGCTAAATCTGGCAACTAATCGACGTCGTGGCATGGATTTTGTTGAATTCAAATCAAGACTGCTAGTCTGACACCTAGAAAGGATCAGCAGTAGCAATACCAAAAGCGACCTATCGCTGGCTCACACCTCCTGGGTCGGTCCAATCCAGCCCAGATCAGCTCAGCCTACTGATCAAGATTCGATAGTAGCCAAATAAGGCAGTGGCTGTGAGTGCAAGGAAAGAGTGGACAAAGACTTCTTCCATCAGGACGGAGGGGTGAAATCTAAACCCACTAATATCTGCCTGTACCCACAGTACACTATAAGCACAATTTTTGCGGCAGTGGTGGTGTCGCTCAGTTGCTGAGCTAGTCAGCTGTAGAATATCTAAACTGTTTGAATGCAAACATTTCAAAGAGGTTCTTACATCTTCCTACCTGGCGGTAAAGCATATAAAAACGTCACTTGGAGTGGTGTGC